AGTCTTGATTTTGTCGACCTGTGTTAACAAAGCAGGATTTTGTCAGAACGCTTAAATATATAAAGTTTTTGACAAGAGCGGTTGTTTTGAAAACAAATGCTAAGAAAATACGAAGGCGCATACTGTTATCAATACTACAATTTTGTATAGTTTCCTCATTCCCTATTGTAAAAACCTCAAAACACTAAATCTGCATCACGTTCAGAAACAGGTTTTTGTTTCATACTTTTCAATTTAACATATTTAAAATGAGTGAAAACTTTTCATTTATTTTTAAAACTACACCATGAGAAAATCCACAGGAGGGGATCCGCTCCTGTGAATTTACTTATGGTGTGGCGGTAATACAAATAATATATTTTTTTGGTCCTACTCATTAAGACATAGAATCAAGCAGCAGTTCAGTAAAAGTGTAACTTATTTTTTTCGTGACCCATTTCTTCAAGATATAGTGGCCCAAATGAAGCTATTTTTATGTATAGTAGTTCCCTGAGATCTACAGAAAGACATCTACCAAATTTTAACCACAAAGCTCGAAATCATAGTGCCTATAAGGCATAAAAACATATTCGACATATTTTGCATATTGTCGACATATTTTGCATATTATCGACATATCTTGCATATTCCTTTGCATAAAGAAATGCATATTTGCGATATGTCGTTTCCATTCGAATACAAATTTAATATAGTGCCTAAATCCAAAATTTGGCGGTATTTAATCATTATTAATGTTGGCATCATCGCCTTCACCTCCAAACTGTAACTGTTTCAAGTAACTATATTCGTAATACAACAAAATTAAATATCTGCGTCAAACCCGAAAAAGAGTCGTTCAAATCTGAATTTTTTTTCTGACAAAAAAGCAGAGAGTAAAAATTAAGAAATTTTAAAAGTGCTTTCCATTTTTTTTGCTACAGAAAAAATCGTACTATAAAAAAAATCCATCGACTGCTTTACGTCTCTTTAATAATTTGTAAAAAGAATTAATTTTTAAGTGCCGAACTGTAAGAATGATTTTTAAAAAGGGATTTTAGCAAATAAAAACAGGTTTATACACTTTCGACTAGCAAAAATAACCCTTAAAACCTTTTTTTTGAAAAAAGGATAGATTTCCGGATAGGGGATGTTTGAAATTTTTTCCGGATAAAGCCGTTAAAAAAAAGGACAGATCTGTCCGGAAAGAGGACAAAATGGCAGCACTGATATGTTCTGCAATTCATAAATAATAATTAATATTAACAAGTAATAATATAAAGTTCCATTTAGCTGTAAACTACCAAAACTGCACACATTTGGTTTTGTTTAAAATGTTGCCAAATTAATATTGGCTCGACAAAGGCGTTGTAAATTTTCATGTAAAACGTTACAGACTAATTTGGGTCAAATCTTAGAATAACTCAAAACTTTTTTTTCGATAAAGGGTTAAAATATAAGGTGCCGTTTTAAATTTTTTTGTATCATTTACCGTTTAATTTTAAATCATCTTTTTATAATTAAACTCCGATTTTAAAGTTATGCAGCACTTGAGACTCGTTCGAGATATTTTAATATTTTTAGTGGATCAACAACGCAAAATGAGCTGGACACGAGTTTAGCACACTTAAGCATATTCATACTGTTTCGTCGGCAACTTAAATATCGCCGCCGCGAATGCATCTTGTCCCATTCGCACTCACAATCCATCGCCCCGTACTCAACGCGCCCAAACCCGCGGTGGCGCCGATGAGCCCTTGCAAGATCGCGAAATTTTTCGAGATTCTACCGCTATTTGAAAGCCGCGGCACTGTCATCTCTTTCTCTCTTGCACGTCTTTGCTGCCGAAGCCACACAGTGAAGTTGCGCAGTTGTAAAAAGTTGGCGAACGGCGTGGACGTGCGAGCAGACGAGGAAAGCACAAATGTAAGATATTATGTAATGTAATGTAAGATATACATGAAATAAAGGTTTCAGTTATTTTTCTGATCGACTGTTTCTGAAGTGAACTACTCGAAGTCTGTGTTTTATGTGGAAGGGACGTCTCTCGCACCAGTCGCGAGCCAACACAAACCATTTTCACCCGTCTAATCATAATCATAATTTAAATGATCTAAATACATATCCCATTTTTGAGAAGGATAAGTGTCCAAATTGGTCCTAGTCAATTTTATTTACTTGTTTTACTTAAAATTAAAGAATTATAAGATAATGCGGTCCTAAAGGAAGGACCTGATACGGTGACTCCACCTTGCCCGTCATTTCAGCAGATCCGGATTTTCAAGTCCTTTCAAATGGTCTAGAAATCTCAGGAGCACGTATTTTTTTAGCCAATTAAAAGACAAACAAGAGAGAACGCTATAGTCGGGTTGGTGTCCCGACTATCTAATACCCGTCACTCAGCCAAAGGGAGTGCGAACGCTGTACTCGGGTTGGTGTCCCGACTAATAATCGTAACTCAGCTAAAGGGAGTGCGAGGGAGATAGATATATAAATTTTGATTGCGTATAACTTTTTATTAAATGGTCCGATTGGAAAAATGTCTTCTACATTTCGATAGGTATAAATATACACAACAAAATTGCATTTTTACTTTTCGGAAATCTTTAAAGATGTGGGCGCAGGACCCATTTTAAAATCGTAAGTGGGCGATTGTGGGCGTTAGAGGGGGCGTGGCGCTCGGCTAAAATAAACTTGCGCTGCGTAGGAAGCCAAAGAATATGTGTGGGAAATCTCAACCTTCTAGCTTTTGTAGTTTCTGAGATCTCAGCGTTCATACAGACAGACAAACGGACAGACGGACATGGCTAGATCGACTCGGCTAGTGACCGTGATCAAGAATATATATACTTTATGGGGTCGGAAACGCTTCCTTCTAGCTGTTACATACTTTTGCACGAATCTAATATACCCTTTTACTCTACGAGTAACGGGTATAAAAATGAGTTATATATTGTTAAGATCGGTCAACAAATTCCTACAAAGAAGTAAAAAGTCGAAAAAAATTATCAGATTTTTTTTTAAACTCGTGTCCAGCTCATTTGCCAGGTTGATCCTCTGAAATAATTGCCAAAGAACAATGGCAAAAGCGAACGGGACGATATTAACAGTGGATGTTGTTCTATTTATAGCTTAAACAAAAAAGGAAGCTATATACCCTTGCAGATTAGGCAAACACCTATAGTTTAAGACTCACTCCGTGCAGTTCCAGGGTTTCCAGATTCAGCGTGCCTATTTATTTTGTTTTAAAGTTGTCAATAATCAAAACGCCTACTTCCTACAAAGTTACAATGAATTTTCTTATATTTCTTTGAATATTCCTATAGGAGCTTTAAGATATAGTGGTCAGATCCGGCTCTCTCCGACATCACTATGGACGGCAGTCCATGTAGTGACGAAGCGCACCAGGAACGAACGCACCCCTCGCAATGTTTTAGTTGTATTCCTTCTGAAATACCCGTCGAATGAGGGGTCATTTGACAAAATCCGACGCTCCGTTCAAAAGTTATAGCCAAAATAAGATTTTCTTCGTCTTCCCAAAATGAAAATTTAATTCTGTTTGTCAGTTTGTCAGTTTCTCCAAAACATGTTTTTTAAGTTTTGAAAATTTGATATGACGTTCATCACATCGATATAAAAAACTTTTGTTCTACCACTTTTGGAAAAACTCGCTAGTTTAGCGGGAAAACAGCTATAAATAGCTAAAATTCGGAATACCGTAACTTCTATACTACTAAAGCTACAGACTTGTGCTGCATCTCGTTTGAAAGGTATTTTTAAATGCTATATGCAATTTGTGTCAATGTAATAGTTAAAAAGATATAAACAAGAGACAATTTTTTAAAACTTTTTTTAGCTTTTTTTTATTTTTTTCAAAAACGGCTCTAACGATTTTCTTTAAAACTTTACACTGTATAGCCCTTGAGATTGCTTAAATTTTGGTATATAATACATTACTGTAAAAAGTCACGTTTAAAAGTTATTTTTATACGAAAATAGCCACTTTTGTAAGCTCGAACTACTAACGCTCCCTGAGTATTGAATTTTGTGTGAGGGTATCCGAACTGTATTTTAGGGTCATGGAATCAGTAAATTTGCACTTAAGAGTTCCATATAGGAATCTTTTGTTCTACGACTTTTGGAAAAAGCCGCTACTTTAGCGGGAAAAAGCTAAAAATAGCTACATTTTGTTAGTTTGTAAGTTCTACACTACTAAAGGTACAGGCATGTGCTATACCTCGTTTAAAAGGTATTTTGAAATACTTCAACGCCTTTTTAACTGAATTTGTTTAAATACAATGGCTTACAAATTATGATTGACCAATTTTAATTTAAATGTATATATTAGCTCCTATGAGAGCAAATGTAAACAAACAACAACTTCTGATATCAAATAAAAACACCTTTTAACGAGGTAAAAAACTAGTGACGATCGCACCTTCAACATACAAAAGTTCTGATATCAACATTTGTGACGAAAAATTATTACACTCGTCATTAAATAGACTTTCTAATATTTTCTCATTCGGCACGCTGCAATAGAAAATGCCTGTGAAGGAAAAAAGGCTGGAATAGTTTGCTAGGGCGGGCCGAATGAGAAAATATTAGAAAGTCTATTTAATGACGAGTGTAATAATTTTTCGTCACAAATGTTGATATCAGAACTTTTGTATGTTGAAGGTGCGATCGTCACTAGTTTTTTACCTCGTTATGAGGTGTTTTTATTAGATATGTACTACCTACAATAGAAAGAAAACTTTCGGGAAAGTTTCATCGCGATAGCTTTAAAACTGAGAGACTAGTTCGCATAGAAACTGACAGACGGACAGACGGACATGGCTAGATATACTCGGCTATTGGTGCTAATCAAGAATATATATACTTTATGTGGTCGGAAACGTCTCCTTCACTGCGTTGCAAACATCTGACTGAAATTAGAATACCCTCTGCAAGGGTATAAAAAGCACCACTGTATGTCCCATAAACACTTCCAAGCCAATGTGAAAAAAGATTGATGACATATTTTAAGACTGTAATGGCTTTACATTTATTAAGCGCTTCACATATAGTTGGGGTATTTTAAATAGCACAAAGAATACAAACTCGATGAGACTAATAATTGAACATCCCAAGCAAAGCTGACAAATTCCTCCAAAAGAAACTGCAAAGGATAAATGACTTATTTACTTTGAATTGCTGAACGATTTCAAGCGAGCGATCTTACCAATTAAGTCCACCCATGTGTAAATTAGGTTAGTTTTGTAGATCAGCATGGATGGTTTTTTGAAGTATACGTTAAGCCACGTGCTATCAATAATGCTTGAATTTGGCTGTAGCCAGGGTTGCTGGACGCTCTTCCGCATATCAGTCACCAGAGTCAGGGACTTGCAGTTGTGAAGGCACTCGCAGAGCAATCCGGATTCTTCCCTATGCACATAAGGATGCTCCCCAGGCTGCTCGAAGTTTTGCAACAGGTGATTGTGGGACGCCAGGCAGGGGAGGTCCTTCAGCCGACAGGCGGCGTAGTCGGATGGTGGGTAGAAAAGGTCCAGAGTGCAGTTGCAGTATTGCCACAGATGCCGCTGTTGGCACTCAGCCTGACAGTTCTCTAGCATATACTTCTCGCCTTGAAGTGTCTGAAAATGCTCGCTGTTCTGCTCATAGTCCATTACGCAACGCCGCCACCTAGAGGGCAAGGTCAAAGTGCTGTCGTCGAAATAATGATACACTGCTGTAACGGCCACATTGGTGCGTGTATGGGGATGGGGCACCACCTCGATGGGGAACCCGAACCACACTGAGGATTCCACCACAGTCAGCTGAAAAACGTACGGGATTACATAAGTTTTAAGGATCTACATTACATTTACACATTTGAAAACAAGAAGAAAAGAAATCAAACACACCCGGAAAAAAATATTAACCTAAAACAAAACAAGAGAGAACGCTATAGTCGGGTTCATGTCCCGACTATCTAATACCCGTCACTTTTGAAACTTTGTGGGACATCTTAACATCTTTCAGAAAAATATTTTTAATAATTTTTAATTTTTAAATGAAGTATTTTGTAAGGGAATTTTAAATTAAAACAAGAGTGAACGCTATAGTCGGGTTGGTGTCCAGACTATCTAATACCCGTCACTCAGCTAAAGGGAGTGAGAACGCTGTACTTGGGTTGGTGTCCCGACTAATAATCGTAACTCAGCTAAAGGGAGTGCGAGGGAGATAGATATTTAAACAATTTTGGTTGATCTTCTACATTTTGAGAGGTATAAATATACACAACAAAATTGCATTTGTACTTCTCGGAATTTTTAAAGATGTGGGCGCAGGAGACATTTTAGTTAGAGAGGACGTGGCGCTCCCCTGAAATAAACCTGCACTGAGTTGGAAGCCCAAGAATATGTGTGGGAAATCTTAACCTTCTAGCTTTTGTAGTTTCCGAGATCTCAGCGTTCAGACAGACAGACAGATAGACAGACAGACAGACAGACAGACAGACTGTTTAAATTCGAGGCCTATTTCTCCAATGTCCGAAGACCCCCGTAGCTCTCAGCCCGGACATTTCCTAGTAGAGCTTGAAAATTATCGATGTCAGTATCGATATTATCGATACTTCTGATATTTTTCAAACATCGATATTTATCTATAACATCGATGTTTTTCTGACGTTTTATTAGAGAGAAACGAACAGATTTCACTCTTTAATTTTGGGGACCAAAATAACTTTAAATACAAAATCACTTAAAGTAGGGACAAATTACCATACAAGAACCGCGAGTTCTTGGTACTTTGTTCTTTTTTGGTCCTATAGATATTATGAAATACTTAAAAGTAGGCGAAAAGGGCATAGGTTATGGCAAAAAATGGTCAATAAAAGAACCGCGAGTTCTTGAGAAGAGGAGGAACTTTGGTTTTTTTAGTACCAAAAACAAAATCTTGGTTGCAGCTACCGACCTTCTGTCCGCTATTAAAAAATCTCAAGAAACCGCGAATTCATAGCCTTTGATAAGAATTGGTCGCTTTTCGAAGATCGTTTGAGCGATTTGGACTTAAGGATCAAAAAAAAAAACAACCGCAAATTCTTCAGAAGAGGAGGAATTTTTACTTCTTTATGGTATAGTATCAATTAAAGTAGGGGGAAATAACCATAGGTTGTGGCATAAAATCGAAAATGAAAGAACCGCGATTTCTTGGGGAAAGGAGGAACTCTCGTTCTTTTAATACCAACAACAAACAAAACGAAGACCGTTTGAGCAATTTTGGCAAAGGATCAAAAAAAAAAAGCAACCGGGAATTCTTCAGAAGAGGAGGAATTTGTTCTTCTTTAGTACCAAAAAATGGGATGGAGCAAAGGTTTGTTCTATTATTTTACATAAGTATTTCCTCAGAAGATATTTAAAAAAAAATTCTTAAGAAGCCGTGAATGTCTTTGACTAAGAATTGGTGTCTTTCTAGACATGTGACGCAACTCAACTCAATGATCAAAAAAAAAACCACGAGTTCTTAAGAGGAGGATCCTTTAGTCTAAAATTGCATTTTAATAATGAAAACCGGAAATTAAAATTAAATAAATTAACCGCGATTTTTTCTAATAATAATATTAATAATAATGCAAGTGTATTACGCATGTATATAATAATAATACGTGGTATTAACAGAATTATAAAATTGTTTTTTAATTTGTCTTTGCTTTCCTTGAAAACATCGATATTATCGATACGATAATGATAAAGTATCGAAAATATCGATACTGTCATTTATCGATAATTTTCAAGCTCTATTTCCTAGTCGTTGGGCCACACGATGGCGGCGGCTAAAGGCCTTGCATCAGCAATTTTGTTGGAAAGAAGAGTACCTAAAGGAGCTCTGTTGAGGGTTTACCTGAGGCTGTAGAATTAATATCCGATCGAAAAACCGAATTTAAAAATGCGCGTCTCAGTTTTGTACGTCGTTTACATAGACACTTTATTTCGCAAGTGGTCGCCTCTTCTGTCGGCGCTGCCAATTCGGACTTTACAAAAATTCTTATTTTAAAAGGGCTAAATTATAGATGTATTTTTCAACACTGCTCGTCCGTTTATTTATTTATTTATATTCTGGTTCTGAGGCAATTACAAATGGCCTCCAACCAATTTTTTAGCTATAGCTTCTAGGCCTTAAGCTAGTGGGGATTATTTACATTGTCTTTACATCTAAATATTTGTGATATGAATTAATTTATATATTGTTTCTTGTCGTCTCGTATGCTGAACATTCTAAGAAGAAGTGCCGAACGTTGTTCCTTAGACCGCAGTGTACGCACTGGGCTGGGGGTTGTTTATTAAGAATATACTCGTGCGTATACCTGGTGTGTCCGAAGCGAAGTCTTAAAAATTTTATTAGATCTCTGCGGTATATGTCGGTTTTTGGTGCGATGCTGTAGTCTTTGATAGACGATTTTTTTGGGTTGACATATTTGTAGTGTTCTGATGTGTTTTGCCAGATTGATTTGATTTGTTTTTATACCCTTGCAGAGGGTATTATAATTTCAGTCAGATGTTTGCAACGCCGTGAAGGAGACGTTTCCGACCACATAAAGTATATATATTCTTGATCAGCACCAGTAGCCGAGTCTATCTAGCCATGTCCGTCTGTCCGTCTGTCTGTCTGTCCGTCTATCCGTTTCTATGCGAACTAGTCTCTCAGTTATAAAGCTATCGCGATGAAACTTTCCCGAAAGTCTTCTTTCTATTGCAGGTAGTATATATTTCGGAGCGAGCCGGATCGGACCACTATATCTTAAGGCTCACATAAGAATATTCAAACAAATATAAGAAAATTCTTTGTAACTTTGTAGGAAGTAGGCGTTTTGATTTTTGACAACTTAAAAACAAAATTTTAAAAATAGACACGCTGAATCTGGATTCCCTGGAACTGCACCGAGTGAGCATTAAACTATAGGTATTTACTTTATCTGCAAGGGTATATAAGCTTCGGCTGGCCGAATTTGTGGGCTTCTTTTGCTGCTAAGTCCGCTGTGTCGTTACCAGGAATGTTTGTGTGACCTGGAATCCACAGCAAGATGATTTTTGGTTGTTGTTGGTTAAGGATGTCTCGGATACGGGAAGTGTAGAAGGATTGGTTGTTGGTGTTGGCTATTGAATTTAAAGATGACAGCGAATCTGAACAGATGTATTATAATTTCAGTCAGATGTTTGCAACGCAGTGAAGGAGACGTTTCCGACCACATAAAGTATATATATTCTTGATCAGCACCAATAGCCGAGTCTATCTAACCATGTCAGTCTGTCCGTCTGTCAGTTTCTATGCGAACTAGTCTCTCAGTTTTAAAGCTATCGCGATGAAACTTTCCCGAAAGTCTTCTTTCTATTGCAGGTAGTACATATGTCGGAGCGAGCCGGATCGGACCACTATATCTTAAGGCTCCCATAGGAACATTCAAACAAATATAAGAAAATTCATTGTAACTTTGTAGGAAGTAGGCGTTTTGATTCTTGACTACTTAAAAACAAAATTTAAATAAATAGTAACGCTGAATCTGGAATCCCTTGAACTGCACCGAGTGAGCTTTTTTTTATCTGCAAGGGTATATAAGCTTCGGTTGGCCGAAGCTTCCTTTCTTGTTTTTTAATAGATTGAATTAATCTCTCCCAGGCTCCTCCCATATGAGGCGACAGTGGGGGATTAAACGACCATGTGCAATTTTTTTGTGCCAAGAACTGTGTCGTTTCGTCATTTGACCAATTGTCAATTATTATCTTAAAATCCTTACTTGCTCGTTTAAAATTGGTCCCATTGTCTGCGTATAGTTCTATTGGAAAGCCACTACGGCAACGAAACTGACGAAACACATGCAAACATGCATTACAAGACAAGTCCTCTGCTATTTCTAGATGAACTACACGAGTGGTCATTCAAGTAAAAAGTACACCATACCTTTTTAAATGACTTCTGTTTACCAATACCTCGATGGGACCGAAGTAATCTATTCCAACTTTTAGGAAAGCTCTTTCTGTTGGTTCAATTCTGCATTTAGGAAGCTGTCTAATTAGAGCTGTCTGTAGCTTAGCACGTCTATTCTTACAAAATTGACACTCACGAATTATTTTCTTCACAGTATTTTTACATCTAAATACACAGGCCGACAAAATGTGACATGGGTCGGTGTCCAGGCCTGTCACCATTTTATGTCGACAAATGAGGCTTTTCTAAGCATAAGTTTCCACTACGCCTTTTAAAAATCTTTATTTGTGAACAGCGTTTAAAAATTAAATAAAAATATTTTCTTCTACAATGCATTTTTGATCCAAAGACACCTTATGTCCCTAATTTTTAGGACACTCATCAGGTGTTTGTGTATTGTTTTGGAATTTTTAAAATTGTTTTTCTTACTTCCTTCACAGTGACAATTCACAAACAGTGCCCAAACCTGTTAAAATTTTAAATATCATAATTCTAAACGATCTAAGTAGTTTTGCTTTGAGTATAAGCACATGAGCGTAGCCTACTAATCTTTGGGGGCTGAAATGCTTGAAGTGTAATCCCCCTCCAGCTTTTAGCTTACGCCCATGTATAAATATTTTTAAAGCAAGGGTCACTTGTGCTCAAAAATAGTTATGAGTTACGTAAAATAGTGACAGGTTTGGGCACTGTTTGTGAATCGTCACTGTGAAGGAAGTAAGAAAAACAATTTTAAAAATTCCAAAACAATACACAAAAACCTGATGAGTGTCCTAAAAATTAGGGACATAAGGTGTTTTTGGATCAAAAATGCATTGTAGAAGAAAATATTTTTATTTGCTGTGACTTTCAAATT